CACAAACTATGCTGAGACACTTTTTGAGACAGTGTCTCTCTATGTATTCTAGCCTGGCCTGCAACTCAAAGCAATCCTCTTGCCTCAGCCTCCCAAGGGCTGGGATTACAGGTGTGCAGCACCATGCCCCCCCCCCCCGACACTATTTTAACAAGTGATTCATAAACATCAGGTCAGACAGTGTACCACAGACAACAGCACAGGGAAAGACATTCCTATATACACCCTGCTGAGGCAGATTAGGGCATGGCAAATAGGCTGGGGAAGAGGGCATGACCTGTCACTTACAGAGTTCCAGGACACGAGCACAGAACAGATCCCAAAGCCCTACACCTGGAACCAACCAATCAGAGCATTATGTTCTTCCGAGAACTCAAACAGGCTTTTCTTTCCCTTTGGTACCAGGAATGGAACTCAGGACCTTGCACTTGCCAGGCAGGTGCTGTCCCACTGAGCTAAATCCCCAGCTGCCTCAAGCTGGCTTTGGATAGGACGGCCTAGACCTGACAGTCTGGAGTGGGAGATACAAAAGATGGCCAGCATCAGGCCAGGCACCACTATTAACTCCTTCAGTGGCCCACCCCATAGTTTGCAGGGTACACTGTTTTTTTTGCTTTTTTTTTGGTACCGGAGATTGAACTTGGGACCTTGCGCTTGTGAGGCAGGTGCTGGAACCACTGAGCTAAATCCCCAGCCCCCTTTTTTTTTAAGACAGGGTCTTGCTATGTAGCCCAGGCTGGCCTAGAACTCATGGCGGTCCTCCTGCCTGCCTCAGCATCCCATGTGTTCGGATTACAGGCATGTGCCATCATGCCTGGCTTGTAGGGTGTACTTCTTACCTTTAGTTGGCCCGCACTTGCTGTGCAAAGCATATTTTGTTTCTATACCTTTAATAAATGTAAAACCTCGCTACCTTTTGCACTTGCTTCACCAATTTTTGTTCAGAACCAAAAGAACATAGAAACCTCTAGAAAGACTCCAGCGCCCAAAACCTGTTAACACTGCCACCAGGGCAAACTAATATCAAAAATGTAAATGTACAAACCCTTTGATCCAGCTATGCAATTTCTAGAGGTACTCTAGATACACATGTTCATCTGTGCAATGAGGTACTACACACTATTCCCCACTGTGACATGGTGACAGTAACTAGAAAACCCCGATAGCCAGCAATACAGACCTGTTAAATTGCTGTTACTCTTCTCAGAAACCAGAGGAGAAAAGACCAAAGAGGACCTTTAACAGATCCTTTGCCAAAGATAGCAAAGACAGGGAAAGATGTGCTACATCACATGCTCTTCAGGGAAATGCAAGATGATAGGACGCCACTAAGCAACTATTAGAACAGCCCAAATCCAGAACACTGCAAGCACCAGAAGCTCATGAGGATGCGGAGCAATGGAAACCCGCACCCACTGCTGGTGGAAACACAAAACCACGTAGCCTATGTTGAAGACAATTTAACAGTTCCTTATAAAACTAAACCTATTCTTAACATATAAGCCAGCAATCACACTTCTTGGTATTTATCCAAAAGAGTTAAATTTATGTTCACACAGAATCCTCACATGCAAGTTTTATTCATAATTACCTAAATTTGGAAGCAGCCAAGATGTCCTTCAGTAGATCTACAAAGTAACTGTGGAACATCCAGACACTAATTATTCAGCATGACAAGTATTAAGAAGCCATAAAAAGGAGGAAACTTAGCTGGCTCAGTGGCTCACATCTGCATTCTCAGCACTTGGAAGACTGAGGCATGAGGACTGCTGTAAATCTGCACCCAGCCTGAGCTATATAGCAAGACTATGTCTCAAAAACCAAACAAGCCAGGCATGGTGGCACACACCTGTAATCCCGGTACTTAGGTGGCTGAGGCAGGAGGATTGCCACAAGTTTAAGGCCAGCCTGGGCTAGTGACTTCAAGGCCGGCCTGAACTACATAGCAAGACTCTGTCTCAAAAAAACGAAAAAAAAACAAAAAAAGAGAGAACCTTAAAAATGCACATTACAAAGTAAAACTGGCCAATCTTGTTATACAGTGTATGATTTCAACTACTGCATGACACTGCATAATGCAAAACAATGGAGATGGGGGCTGGGGATTTAGCTCAGTGGTTCTGCCGCCTGCCTCACAAGCACAAGGTCCCAAATTCGATCCCTGGTGCCAAAAAAAAAACAATGGAGATAGTAAAAAAAACAAGAGGTTTCCTGGGATTTATAGAAGATTACTGTGCGATAGCATAACAGTAGATACATGTCATTAAATACTTCTGTCCAATCCCATACAAGGTACAACCCCAAGAATGAGCCCTAACATAATCTATGGATAATAGGTGACGATGTCAATGTAGGTCCATTAATTTTTTTTTTTTTTTTTTCTTTTTGGTACCGGGGATCAAACTCAGGTCCTTGCACTTGTGAGGCAGGCGGTGGAACCACTGACCTAAATCCCCGGCCCCATTAATTATTAATGTAGCACTCTGATGATGGATGCTGATACTGGGGGAAATCTTGAGGGAACGTGGGAAATAGATGCACAATCCTCGCATTTTTGCTGTTAACCTAAAACTGCTACTCAAAATATGTCTTTTAAAAAAATCAGCAGTTTTATTTTCTAAAAAAATCTCCAGTGAACTTGTTCGGTTCATGTTGGCACCCTATTTTCCAACTACCCAAGCTACTTTAAGGGCCTTTGCACTTACTATGCCTCCAAACAGAACATTTTTTCCGGAAGTCAATGATGCTCCGACACTCTCAGGGATAGCTCAGTAGCACGGCGCATGTCTCACAAGCACAAGGTTCTGAGTTCAATCCCCGGCACCGCAAAAAAAAAAAAAAGACACTGTCGAGGTCCTTAGGCTAACCCTTCATAAAACAGCAATCAACTTCCATTCCTCATCCTTATCACTTATTACCCAGCCAGTATTCTCTCATCTTTCCAGAATTTAAGCTCCACGAGACTAGGTAGTTTTGCTTTTGTATTCCAAAGCAGTACACTCAAGGGAAACAAGTTTACTGGATAGATTATGCAACAACCAGCCAACTAAACAGTATACAACATAAAAAATGAGCAAGTGCAATTTTTACTTACCTAAAAAGCTCTCCAAGATATTAAATGAGAAAAACAAGTATGTGTGCTGTGCTACATTTTGTTAAACAGGGAAATAACTATGTACATTTGGTTCCACAGGGACTTGGCTGTCCAGCAGGCTACACCAACTGCTAAAAGTGCTTGCCTCTATGGAGGGAACATGACAGCTGAGTCAGGAATAGAGCTTTCATATAAATCCTAAGTCGGAAAAAAAGCAAGGTGAATAACAGGCTGGGCCATTAGCATGTGGAAAAATAAGCAGTTTGAGAAGTGGTCCGGAGAGCTTGACATTTACTAAAACTATTGCATTACACATACTCCAAAACATCTTTTTCTTTTTTTGGTTGCGACAGGGTCTCCCTATGTAGTTCAGGCTGGCCTCCAACTTGAGCCAATCCTTTGGCCTCACCCTCCGAGTGCTGAGATTGCAGACATGCACCACCATGTCCAGCTTTAAAGTGTGGCAAGAAAGTAGCTGCCATTAATAGTAGTATCAAAATGGATAGGACTACAGGATGTATTTTGGTGGGGTTTTTTGGTCTCTTGTTCTTTTCCTACAGTACTGGGAATTGAATCAAGGCCCCTTTACATATCCCCAGCCCTTTTTGCTTTTAAGGTTAAGATCTCACTAGAACATTTAAATTGCCCGGGTTGGGCTAGAACTTGTGATCCTTCTGCTTCAGTTCCCCAGAATGATGGGAATACAGATGTGTGCCACAGCTGAACTAAGTTGCTTTAAAGAGTCCTTTTAAAGAAAGGGGGGAAATGTTTGGAACCACAGGTAGGATTCAAATTTCCCCTACTTCCAACCAGGTAAATAAACCTGACCAAACTATCAATCTGTAAGCCTACTTCTCCTTCAGAAAAGGAAACAGCACAATTTTGATATAGGGAATAAATGATAATTTTTTACTCAAAAAACATAACTTATAAATGTGAAAAATTCACATTCATGCAAGTACATACCTAAATTGCCCTGCAGACAAGGTCATTACAATTACTTTCCCATGCTTTCAAACTGCCTATTTCAAAAATTCTTGATATAATATCTTTAATACTAAAATAAATAAACCTAGCTTTTCTTCCTCTATCTTTGGCTTTTCTCCAATTCTAACCACCCTCTACTCCAAAATCAGCCAGGGGTAGCAGCCTCCATCAGTGCCGGGATTATAAGCTTGTATGTATAACTGTCTCAGCTGTAATTTACAATTCATACCTTCCAATTCTTGCTTCCGTCTTGGAAAAATCTTATTTTGCACTCTAAGATAACTTTAGAACCAGGGCCAGGGATTTACTCAGTGGTACCACTGCCTGCCTCGAAAGCACAAGGTCATTTGATCCCGGGTACAAAAAAAAAAAAGAACCAAAATCCTACCCGTGTATATTCATTTAATGTAAATTCAAACGGAGGAATTTCAAGACTTCTTCAGTATTGTTCTCAGGAAAACAAGATGAGCCATTATCTCTTGATACAGCAGGTCCAAAACCCAATAGAAAACTACCACTGCGAAGTCAAGGATGTATGTATACTTACTATTCTATACCAAGTAAATAAAAAATGATTTCTAGGCCTAAACTTTAGAATTGGACTGGAATTCAATCATAAATGTAGTTACATGTTAAATAAAACAGGGTAAAAAAATAGTGCACAGCACAGAACTGCATAACTGACATGGATACTACTGAACAGAAGGGTGCCCATGCTAAAGCTGCCCGCCCAGACTGCAGTACTGCCTGTCCCCACTAAGAGCAGAACCGCTTTCATCTGTGACCCTACCAGCTCCCATACCCACTTCCTTTTATACTAATTTCTAGTTCATCACTAGTTACACCCACCCTAAGCTACAGCATGAATGATTCTTATTTTTGGCTTAGAGCTCACACTTCCAAAAATTGAGTATCAGGATTACTTGTTCAATCTCTACAGATTTATTGAGTAAACTTAACTTTATAGAATACATAACAAAGCTAACCAAGTGCAATAGACAAGCCTGCCAATTACACATATAGCTTTATACCAACCATGTTAATTTAGCCAGTTGTCAAAATTCCAATCAAAGAATCCAAATAATTTCCAACATACTAGTGGCCACTTAGACCATCAAAAGAATTTGAGGCAGATGAGTTTTATTCCCAAATTCCCAAACTATCCAAAGACTGTTGAAAAGCCTATAAAACAGACAAGGGCAGATTCCTGTGCCACTAGCATTTTTTTTTTTTTTTTTTTTTGCACCAAGCTGAGTAATACTGGTAAAAGCATATCCAGAAATCCTCAGAAGTAACTGTTTCACTGCTCTATTATACTTAGTATTTAAATTCTGAGTAAGATCCTACTGGCTATAACATTCTAAGGTCTAAGAGTCACTACCAAAAAAAACCACTTGGCTAAATGAAGTACTGCTAAATATGTAAGATTTACAAAACTGCTTTTAGTCTCATTAACATTTCTGATTAACATCTTTAATTACTTTATTTTGTACCAGCTTGGCAAAACTGGAGAACTATAGTTGTTGGAGCTGTAAAACGTAGTTTGGAGCTAGGTGTGGTGGAACACACCTAATAATCCTACTCAGGAGGCTGAGGCAAGACTGCCTGAGAGTTCAAGGTGAGCCTGGGCTAGTAAGCTCCAGGCCAGACTGCACCAGACAGGGCCTGTCTCAAAAAACAAAACAAAACAAAAAACAAACTTAGCTTGGATCAAACAGGTCTTCGAACAGAGTAAGGCAATACATGTTAAACAACATCTGGGTTAGAAAATTTTGCAAAGCTGGTTTACAATATTGTTCCAAATTCACACAATTCCTCACATATGCATTGTTTTGGTATAAAAGACTGTTTGAAAACAAAAAAACAAAAGAGTAGTAGAAACCATCCCACCCAAAAGCCTGAAAACAATCAGGTGCTAAACTTAGCCTTCAGAAATCAGTTTCTCACTTCATTTTAAATATCATTTTAATAAGCTTTGCTTTGTTCCTGTCATGCTTATTTATAGACAAATCAATGGTCCCTTTAGACTGACAGAGATCATTAGTTTGACAGTATCCAGTAACACCAACTTCAAATGCATTAGTTAATTTAGGTATTTGTCATAACCATGCTATAGGGGACTCAAAATCATCTTACCCAATGCTACAAGGGTAAAATGGAATTTCAAAGCCCCTTAAGATCTCAGGCATGTGTTATGTATAGAACAGGACAATGTTCAAGATTTAACCAACACCATTAAACTCTGAATGTAAGTCTGTATGAATGTGGCTAGTAACAACTAAGTCTGACTCCTGATGTTTACCAATTCAAGAAGTGTTACTACTGAACACAAATCAAAAGTCTATTAGAAACACTTTTATTTAAATGTGCCAAATAAAACCCCACATTTTCAGACCATAAGATGTTAATACATTCAACGAAAATTTATATTATTTTACTGCCATGAATTTACAGAGTAGTAATCCAAATCCATTTTGATTAGATGGCTGAAATATTCTTTCTGGGTTACACTTTACAGACGTCGCAAATCCCTTATAATAATGTAAACAAAATAACTTTTCCCTAAAGGGTGAACTTGAGAACTTCAGTCCATTCTTTCAGGACTTGCACTTCTTCGAGGACTTCCTGATGGGGAACGACTAAAAAGAAAAACATTAGGTTTGGAATCAGTGTCTGCTGAAACTTAACTCTTCTCATGTTCATGTCAGGAAAACAAAGCTACTGAGTTCCCACAGCAAAGACCTAAAATTACATGAGATTTATATATTATTTATTCCTTAATATTAGGCTTAATACTCTGACAAAATTCCCAAGAAAAACTAAATAGGACAATTTAAGGTTTTTTTGATCATTAAAGTGAACTAGGGAGAAAATAAATCGGGTGCAAGATTACAACTATTTGCAACATTTGTTTTTCTTCATGTGGACACTTCAGACATCCTAACAATCCTCTCTCTAACACTTTGATCAAGTATTTTTCCAACAAAGGAAAAGCAACCAATTCGAAAACTTAATGTTTAGATCTATACAGCACCAATTCTCCAAAGAGCTCAAAGACAGCTAAGTAGTAAGCAAACATTTATTCTGTAGAGGCCACACTTGGCAGGTTAAGATTTGGCAACAAAATATTTAGCTTACCTTCTTTTTGGAGATGGAGATCTGGACTTTGACCGGCTGTCAAAACATGAAAAATTCTAGTAAGAAAGAGTACTGTCCAATACCTTCCTAAGTTATAACACCCTGGAACAAACTAATTGTTTTAAGTTTACAATGTCAAACTGCGGTGTATAACTTTAGAGCCTACCACACTTAATACTTTAAAAAGTCGATCTTCCAAAAACTGTCCCATAAAACCAGTGACCTGCTGTATTGTCACAATTTATCTTTTCTGCCTTAAGCATATCTAGCTCAGGATGCTTCTTGTCCATAAACTGGTCAACTCTTAACAAGGGCCTCTTAACCTCCAAAGTCATAGCGTTCTATCATTTCACATTCCCTCCTCCAGGAAGCAGGCAACAGGCCATGTATAAATGAAGTTCTTGTTTGGCCTAACAAGGTACTGTATTTCAACTTCAAATTTCAACAATTCAAAGTACTTTGAACTCTTTGGATATTGGTGCCATATAACTTTAAGAGCATCTAACCAAATTTTTATCCTACCTGCTTCTTGGTCGTGAAAGAGACCTGGATCTTGATCTTGACCTGGACCGGGATCTTAAAAGGAAAAGTAAAAATTTACCAATTAGTTCATAGAATTCTTTTAACACTGAGCATCTTGTATCAGGCAGGATAGAAACAGAGAAGCTAAACTAAAAAAAGATACTCTTACCTTATACTCAAAAGGTAAGAAATTATTTTCAAACAAGCTCTTAATTTCAATGTAAGGAATCATTTCAACTACTTGTTTCTATCAACCTCAATGGTCACAGTTCTTGTATCCACAATACTCTCAAAACATTGTTAACATCAAGGGCAATAGATGGTTTTCATTTGAGAAGACTAGAGTATTTCATTTTTAAAGGAATCAATGGCACACACCTATAATCCCAGCACTCTGAGAGGCTGAGGCAGGATGATCCTAAAACCTCAGCCTGGGCAACTTAAGAATTTAAAGGGGGGGGGGGGGCAAGGATTAGCTCAGTTTGAAGGGCAGGGGGAGGGGGGTTCACTTCCCAGTGCCATCACTGGGGGGGGGGGGCTCAAATTAGCTTTAAGACCTTAGACCCTTGAGAATTTAACTTTTCATGTAATAATTACCCATAAAAATAAAGTCACTGTATAAGGTTTCTGTTCTTTTTTTTTTTTTGGTACCAGGGATCAAACTTGGGTCCTTGCACTTGCGCGGCAGGCAGAGAAACCACTGAGCTAAATCCAACAAGCTATGATGGTTCAAAGCCATTTATAAGACAGACAAAATTAAGTTCTTGCGACATACACATACATTTCTCTTAAAGGTCTTAGGATCCAGATTGGTCCAGACTTCCTCAGATAGGATTCAGAATTCAGTACCTTCATTTTAAGGCTCTGTGCTAATAACTCCCAGTGTCTCTCTGTACCACTGCTTCATTGTTTTAACTCTTATTCTGTACAAACTCTTTTTATTCTGTACAGCTGTACCTATCCTATCACCTTTTTAAAGGCCTCTACAAAGGAAGTAAATTTGAGGTTCACCTTAAATTTGTGTTGAAATCAAATGTGTACAGCCTGAGAATGGAGCATTTGTCTAGCATGCACCAGGCCCTAGGCTCAATTCCCAGGATCACAAGTACTATTTATTGATTGGTTTGAGATAAGGCCTTGCTGTGTAGCCCAGGGTGGCCTCTCCTGAGTGCTGGAACTACAAGCATGCACCTACACATGTCACAACTGTTTTTGGTATGGGGATCAAACTTGGGTCCTTGCACTTACAACAGCAGGCAGCAAAACCACTGAGCTAAATTCCCTGCCCAATTTTTTTAATTCATAAAAAAAAAAAAAAAACCCTGTGTAGTCAATCATCTTTAGCTGATTTAGCTGAAGTGGTAGCGCATGCCTATAATCCTAACCTCTTCAGGAAGCTGAGGCAGAAAAAGTTCAAGTTTGTCTCTGAAATAATGTTACTTTCAACCCATCTCTATCACTATGGCCCTCCCCGCCACCCCAAGACAGGGTCCTGCTATAGTTCAGGCTGACCTCCAACTTACAATCCTCCTGCCTCAGCCTCTGGAGTGCTGGGATTACTTACAGGCATGCACCACCATGACCAGCACTGTGGGGTGTTTTGTTTTTTGGGTTTTTTTTGTACCGGGGATCGACATTGTGGCCTCTTAACAAACTTAAATACTGGGTTGTATAAACTAAGCTAATATCCATTATTACAAATGGTACGTAAAATTTAACCTTTTAAAATATTCTCTGAAGCAATTTATGTGAATCATGCCCTTAGGCAGTCCATAGTGCTGTGTCATTAAGTGACAATCTGGATGTGAGGGCAACCTGGCTGTGACATCTGTCACCCCATTGATCACCAGGGTTGACTCGGCTGATCTGGCTGGCTAGGTGGGTGTCCCCTTTCTCCCTCACCACGTCCCTCCTGAAGCTGTGTGCATGGTCGAAGAGGACAACCACCCCAGATAAAGGAGGACTGTTTCCTTGGTCAAGGGTATATGAATAGCTGTGCTCCCCTGCTAGAACCTCCAAACCAGCTCTCAAGAAGTGACAATCTAACTAAAAATGAGGAAGAGAGTGTTACATACTGGAAATACCTCGATCCTTTTATAGAACCAGACCTAGATCTTCTGAGTGAAGCTGATCTTGATCTACGAAGAGACACAGATCTTGATCGTCGAGGAGATGCCGATCTTGACCTAAAAATTAAGTTAGGTTTATCGCCCAAGTTTTTTCTCACTTGTTAAAATTTTACAATAATAATCACCCAAGATCTCTTACCTCCGTCCCCTGCTCCTGCTGCGTGAGCGAGAGTATCGCCTTCCTCTGGATCGAGAATGTGATCTAGACCGTGACCTATTTTTCAAGTTAGAAAAATACAGAATATTAGACTACAGCCCATTTTAAAAGTTTATGTGCCTCTGCTGAAATCAAATCTCAAAACTATTTAAATTTAGTGTCTCATTTGGAAATAAATTCTGGGCCTATTAGTTGTTGAGTTTTTTTTTTTTTTACTACCTAAAAAAAGATTTGTTAAAAGCTGAATTACAACTTAGAATTACATAATATAAAACACTGTAATGTGTATTTAAAATAAACCTTGCAAGTTTGCAGTCGACCCTCTTTGGCCCATGGTCTAGTAGGTCTAGTAGATCTAGACGATCTAGAAGTATCTATAGCCGATCGCTGCATCTAGATGTTTTCTTCAATCTAACGACGATCAAACTGACAGCCAAAAGAGCCAGGTGAGGCTTGATTGACGCAAGAAGATTTTTCTAGTTGGGAATGTGGTCAATCTGGTGTTCCTCTTTCTAAAGCGGAGGGGGCCCCAATTGTAAGCCAAATTTACTGTTACGGCGATCACCGTCTCAAATTTTCTGCCCTTTAAAGAATAAGGTGAAGCTAGGTGTAGATGACTCGAGGGGATCTGGCCTCTTATGCTGATCACCTCAAGGTCTAGGAGGATCTTAATTGTCGGATTTGCAAGGCGCCTCAGCATGATATCATAAGGCTCGTGACATTCTGAATCAAGGCGACTGACTCAAACGAAGAAACCTGAAAGGTTTTGACCAGGTTGATTATTAATATATTAACATTTTTAATTACACAAAAACTGTAAAATACACCTGTACAATTAACATTCAAGTTTATAGAAAAACACTAGTTTCTGCCTTGCTAATAAAAGAATTACTCTGATTAACTATAATACCAACCATTCCTTTATTAACTAAATACCTGCTTCTTCTTCTCCGGCTATAACGATGACAATCATAAGCATAATGTCCCTTTTCGCCACACTCATAGCATCTATCATTGGGATCAAAGGGACGTCGGGCAGGTGGTCTATCAAAGCGAGATCTCCGAGGCATGCCCGTAGATAGCTCAACCCTTACTCGGGAACCACAAATCACCCTGTAAAAATAACAAAATTCTGGAGTTAAACTTATGTGACTAATACATTTAGAAGCACTCTTTAATTCTTTCCCTCAGTAGTTCTGGTTCTACTCAGCCCTTCCAATTCCACCCTTTCAATCCTTTAATCTTTGGGTCTTAAACATCCCACTTACTTTCCATCCAGTCCTCGTACTGCATCTTCAGCATCTCTAGGATCTTCAAATTCCACAAAGGCAAATCCCGGGGGATTTCTTGCAATCCATACAGTTCTTAAGGGACCATAATAACTGAAAGCCCTTTCTAACTCTCCTTTGCCAGCACCAGTTCCCAGGTTACCAACATAAACCTTCGTTTCTGTTAATGGAATAGAATAAAGGAGGTTATGCAAAATTTGGCTTAAGTCTGAATGAATTCTGCCTTAAAATGGGCCATCCTTCGAGGAGGTAGCTGAGCTCGAGTCCCTTGGTTCAGTTCCCAGTACCGGGCCCCCCAAGAAAGACTGCGCTTCTCTTTAGAGACAAGGTCTGGCAGGGCTGGTGGCACTTGCCTGTAATCCCAGCACTCGAGAGGCTGAGGCAGGAGGATCAATGTGAGTTCGAGGCCAGCCTGGGCTACACAGTGAGACCCTGTCTCAAAAAACAGAACAAAAAAAGACAAGGTCTGGCTATGTCGCCCAGACTGCTCTGGAACTCTTGGGTTCCAAGGATCCTCACGCCCCCAGCCACGTGCCACCACCCTGGCCTGTGCAAAGCTTATTTAATGCTCTCTACCCGCAATGGAATTTAGCCTGAAATAATTAAGCCTGCGAAGCCAGACTTCTTTAAGACCAAGTTCTTGGCACGGTAGTAGGCGGAACCCCCCCACAACATGGCAAAGGCAGAGAAGCTAGGCGGCTCCCAGGCGTCGGGCGGACCCCGGCTCGGCCCCGCCCCCGACCGGGAGCCTAGGCGCGAGGAACGCGCGGGCCCGCGCTGGCAGGCCGGGCCGGGAAGCTGGGCTGCGTCGGTCCCCTCCTCCTCGGCGCCCGCCCCAGGCGCGGAGTCGCCCAGGACGCCAGCTCCCCGCCCCGGGGCGCACGCCGCGCTCGAAAGAACAGAGGGAAGAGACCGGCCGCCGGTCCCCATTCTCATTCTGCAATTTCAACCAACTGTTGGACGAGAATGCTCAGCTCGCAGCTGCCAGTTTCGTTCCATCTCAAACCCGACCCTGGTTTTGTGTGCGCGACCAGATGTGTCCGCTCCAGTGGCGGGAAAGCGCTGAGGAAATGCGCCACCACGCTCGCCAAAGCGCGCAAAATGGCAGCCGCCGCCGCGTGGGGGGATGGGACGGGCGGGCAGAGCCGAGGACAACGGGAAAACCGCGACCCTGGCCCTGCTTCAGGCCCGAACAGGCGACGAAAATGCCCAAGAACACCGAGCCCCGCACAGCCACACACGCCGTCCCCGGCCGCCCTGGCCGCCCCCAGTTCGCGAGGCGTGCGCCGAAGCCGCCATTACGCACGCGGAATAACCGTCTCCAACCGCCTCGCCAGCCCTCCGGCCTCGCAGTCACCACCACCCACACCGCGCCGTCCGTCCCTGGGCTCTAGACACTGACCTCCTCCGTACCGCCCATAACGCGACATGTTGACCAGCCCGCGTGCCCTGCTCTTTCCGTTTGCAGCGCTCGGTGCTCGAGTGGTTTAGAAGCCACCGCGCACCCTTCCCTACCAACGGTCCCAGCAGCACTACGAGGAAGAGCCCGGCTCAGTACTTATATATGCAGCGCGGGCGTCTTTGCGCATGCGTCATCTCCGCGTTCTGCGCGACACAAAGGACTTGGGCAGAAACAAACGAGAAGCGGCGCGGAAGGAACTTCACGGTCCGACACTCCAGTCCCGAGCGGAGGGATACGTTACCATGGGAACGCCACGGCCTCGTTTATAAACCTACGGCTTTCCCAGAGCCATCCTGTCCCCCCCCTTTCCCTCAGCCTTTTTGCAGATCCTCCTTCCAAACCCCCTACCTTTTCTCCCCTACCCCTTTTCAGCTTTGCCTAATCTTGGAACCCTCAGGGCTCGTAATCTCGGTACAGGTGCATTAGACCGGCCTATGAAAGGCTGTAAAATTTAACCGCTGATGTTGCAGCTGTCGCCGCTTTTCTGTTGGGGGACCTGGTCTAATCTTCTACTCTGACCTGTGGGGCTGTTCAGAGGTAATCGGGAGCGTGACCAGGAGTCAGACTCCACGAGCCCGCCATTCTGAGTAACGATCTTTGCACCCTAGGCCTCAGAAGGGGTGACGCGCCCCGGGACTCAGTACTCCCGTCCCCTTCGACTTTCCTACCCCTTCTGAACCAGTCACCAATTTGTTACCAGCAAGGTTGGTGTGAGTTCTTGGAATCTGAAGGACAAAGGAAGAGGGTTGTGGGTTTGTTTTTTTTTCCTGGTTATGTTGAACTTGTCACAAAACTAAATCTTTAAAGCAGTTTGGCCGTGGCAACTATGAAATTATTTGCATCTGCAGCACAAAGTATTTTGTTCTTCCTTTCTAGCCCTTTCAGCTTTGTATTATAGTAACACGTCACATCCACTAATGGTCAGATCCTGAGGACTGAGACCTTCTGGTCATCTTTGATTGTCTCCCCTTACTGGAGATAGCAGCCTTGCTGCTCAGCCACTCAATATATATCAAATAAATGAAAATTTTTCTTTACATCAGAATTGCTTGCAATTGATGGGCGTGGTGGCACACGCCTGTTATCCCAGCATTCCCAAGGCTGAGGTAGGAGAATCGTTGTGAGTTCGAGGCCGGCCTGAACTACATAGCGAGACCCTGTCTCAAACCACCCCACTCCCCACCCCCGTTGCTTACAATCCAGTTTTGATTTTGATTGTATGCAATACTGGCCAGGCACCGAACTCTACAAATACAGGTTTAAGTACTTTTTATCAGCTTACAACAAAACATAGACATTATATCATAAATACTTGGACTATTACAAGAGATGAAAATGTTACACATAAATGAGGAAATCCTTAGGTATTTGTATTTTTATCTTTTTACCTACTATAACCTCCCTTGGTGCGCATAGGTGTGGGGTGTGGAGTACTGGGAAAGGAGGGCTAATTGGTGAATAAAGTATGGATTTTCCCCAGGTAATTAATGCTGCAAATATATATTTGCCTCAAGAAAATAGCCAGGAAAATAGAATCTCTATCAACAATCTTTATTTATTCTCTCTAACTCTTAACAGGACTTTTTGAACTCAGGGCCTTGAGATTGCCAGGCAGGCGCCATGCCACTGACCTACATCCCCAGCCCCGTATTGGTTTTTTTGAGACAGGGTTTCTGTGTGGTTCAGGCTGACCTCGAACTCACTGTGTAGCCCAGGCCGGCCTCGAACTCCCAGTGATCCTCCTGCCTCAGACTCAGCCTCAGCCTCAGGAGTGCTGGGATTGCAGGCCTTTGACACCACGCCCGGCTTAACAGGGTTTTGTTTTGTTTTTTTAACATTAATCAATAATTATAAAGATTTTTATATACTCTTTGAAAGAATAGCAATTTTGTAAAGTCTCGATAATTTTACTCTCCTCTATTAAGTTGTTATGAATTTAAGAAAATTATGGTTGGACTAACATAGGTAACTTACTGAAAGATACCACTTTTTTGGCCAGGTGCTGTAGAGTATACACAGAGAGACCTCAAAAAAAAAAAAATGATAGCACTATTTTTTTAACTACATATCTCCTAATAGGACTCACTAAAAATTTTTCGATTCTGAATACAAAGTCTATTGACCTAAAGGGAATTTATAATCAAATAATGGTGTAAACAGAAGCAGTTTTCCAACAGATGAGAAACTGCTTTCAAAGCGGGGAGCAGGGAGGATAGTCCAGTATTAAACCCCTTGACTAGAGGAGCTGAGCTCTAGAGTGGATGCGCAGTATTGCGGAGTTAACTGACTGGTGTACAGGCCTCTCTTGGAGACAGGCATTTGATAAGCTAATTATGTATTCTTTATCCCTAGTAAAGCAGGACCAATCCTTGGCTTGGCTTTGCTAACCTCAGGAAAAGGTAATAGTATTGTACACTATTTCCATATGTTACTATTCTATGTGCTCCTTCTCTAAGAACACACAACCAATCCTTTCACTAAATGTCAGTCCAAATCAGGGAAATTATGTTGTGCAGAGTACTTTTATTCCTGCTGATTCTCTTTAAAACCAGCTTTAGGGCCGGGGATTTAGCTCAGTGGTTTCATCTGCTGCACAAGCGCAAGGACCCAAGTTCGATCCCCAGTATCAAAAAATAAAAATAAAAATAAAATCAGCTTTATCAATGCAATCTTCTACCTCTAAAATTTTGTGTTAAGGTCACATTCCCAAATTCAGTTTTCATGAATTATTTAATTCCAGTTCTGCAAACACTCTGATATTTCCTAATATGAAATAGTAATTCTGAACATGTTGTATTGTTAAATCTTGGCAATGTTATTAGTTTATAAAGGGAGGGTAATCAACACTCTTTTTGCATCAGTTTTCAAAATTTTTCTGCATTTCTGAGCTTCGGTATTTCCAGAGAAGCCTTAAAGAAGTCCACTTTTTAATCTTTCTGCCCTCACCACTTTAGTTTCACTTTTAAATTATTGGCACCATTTTAGCTTCGACGTGAATACCTTAAAAGAAGATAAGTGACTTAACTCTTTTGCACAAGTATCTATTTTTAATATAGAGAAATTATAGTATCAGTCTTGTAATATGCATTTTTGTATGTATACATTTATGTAACATGCTATGTATCTATGTACTGTAGGTCAGCCATGTTCAACCACAGCTTGCTTTCTTTTTTAACATCATCATCTGATTCCTCCAGCATACATTTAAGAAATTTTGGGAAGAAAAAGTTATAGAGGCGTTTTCATAAAACTTTCATATTTTATAAAAAAATTAACTTCTCATTAGCCAAGTACTAACTGGATAACAATCTAGTAAAGTATGAGAAGTGGAGAGAGCAACAATAAAGAACTACAAATCTTTGACCATCTTCAGAGAGTGAAACTAGCCAAGTGTGGTGGCACATGCCTGTAATCTCAGAATTTGGGAGGCTGAGACAAGAGGATCACTACAAGTTTGAGGCCAGCCTGGGCTGCATAGAGTTCAATCCAGCCTAAATTACAAAGCAAGACCCTGTCTCAAAATATGAGGGGCAGGGAGGGCCAGGGATTTAGCTCAGTGGTTCCAGTGCCTGCCTCGCAAGTGCAAGGACCCCAGTTCGATCCTCAGTACAAAAAACAACAACAACAACAAAGAGGGCAGAGAGAGAATAGGAGGGGGAAAATGGAAATGAAGCTTTTGTTTATAAATAAGGAGGAAGAGGGGTTAAAGGGAGGGGAGGGGAATGGAAAGAAAAGCAAGATACATCATGTACAAGTATAAATTCCCTAAAAATAAACTGTATTAATAAAAGTAAATTAAGGTTTCTCCTTTTCTTGTATTTTATAGCTTCCTATATCTTTTTTAAGTGGTGCAGGGCGAGTTTAGAGATGGAGAAATTCTTATTCGAACTGAGAAATCACCATTTAGTAGCAATGTAAACTGAAATATATTACTAGTCATTTTAGGTTGCAGATTTCTCAGGAGAAAATCAAGATAATAAAGGGTATTATGAGGGTAGTTTTCATGCATTTTGGTTATATACTGATTTTCTGTTATGATCTGCATTGCTTATAAGAAGAAAAAATAAATGTAGTCTTATTTTGAAAAAGGCTATACATTTTTTATTTGTTTGAGACAGGGTCTCACTATGTAACCCAGGCTGGCCTTGAACTTGCAGCAACCCTCCTGCCTCAGCCTCCCAAGTGCTGGGATTACAGGTGTGCACCACTATGCCAGGCCCTCCTTTTGAAAAAGAAATATAAATATTTTAAGTGGACGTGTAATGAAGGAATTAAGTGAGATCGTTAATACAGTAGAGGGAGAATGTAGCATTAATGATACAGTGTAGCCGGGCGTGGTGGCGCAGGAGAAGAAAGGGACTCTAGCACAGGTGATGGTACCAGCAATCCAGATAGGAGCGCAAGAGCAGACGGAGCAGGACATGGTTTTATTTTATTTATTTATCTATTTATTGATTGATTGATTGATACCAGGGATTGAACTCAGGACCTTTCGCTTGTGAGGCAGGCAGCGGAACCACTGAGCTAAATCCCCGGATTGGACATGGTTTTAAAGGTTGATAGCTAACAACCTGCTTCTTCCACTAAATTCAGAGTCCATGGGATATAATGCAAGAGTCAGATGGAAGCAGACCAAAATGTGACCTTAAAAAAATTTTTTTATTAGTTCATATTTGGGACAAACCTTAGTCCTATTTACTTCCCTTTCCCCTCCCTCCCTCCATTTTGAGATCCTCCTCCCTTTTGCAAAAGGTTTATCTCCCTGTTTCTTCTTTATCTTTTATTTTGCTCTTTATTTACACTTTGGGTTCCTCATATAGGAGAAAACATGATATTTAAGCTTCTGTGGCTGATTTATTTCATTTAGTCATATGGTCCCAAGTTGCATCCAAATTTCCTACAAATGACTCAAATATCCTTTTTTATGGCTGGGTAGTATTCCACTGTATACGATACATCACATTTTCTTTATTCATTTATCTGTTGATGGACATATAGGCCACTTCCAAGATTTATCCATTATGAGTTGTACTGCCATAAACATGTATGTATTACTGTAATATGATATCTTTAACTCAGAAAAATAAGCTAGAAGAGGAATAGCTTAGTTGAATGGAATTTCTAATTTTAGGGTTTTTTGGGTTTTTTTTGGTACCGGGGATCGAACTCGGGTCCTTGTGCTTGCGCAGCAGGCAGCGAAACCACTGAGCTAAATCTCCAGCCCTCCATACTGATTTTTTATGGTTATACTATTTACAGTCCTACCGATAATGAGGAAGTGTTACTCCCCAGCCCCAGCCTTGACAGTATTTGTTGTTTTTTGAATTCTTGATGTTAGACCTTTCTTTCTGGAGCTAGAGGGAATTTCTATTTTAATTTGCATTTCTCACATGCCCAAAGATGTTGAACATCTTTTCATATATTTTTCGGCCATTTGTTCTTTTTCTGAGACATGTCTATTCATTTCAATTGCCCATTTTTTGATTGGGTCTTTTTATTTTGGGGGAGTCTAATTCTTGTCTCCCCCCCCCTCCCCGTACCGGGGATTGAATTCAGGACCTTGCGCTTGTGAGGCAGGCGCAGTGCCACTGAGCTAAATCCCTGGGGGAGTCTAATTTTTTGAGTTGTTTATATATTCTAGATATTAGTCCAAGGAGAAGCTGGTAAAAATTTTTTCCCACTCAGTAGTTTGTCTCATCACTATATTGGTTGTTTCTTTTGCTGTCCAGAGGCTTTTTTTTTTTCTTTTTCTTTTTCTTTTTTTTTTCAGAGGCTTTTTAATTTGATATAATTCCATTTGTTGATTCTTTTTGCTGTTTCTTTTTTTTTTTTTTTTTGGTACCGGGGATCAAACTCAGGACTTTGCCCTTGCAAGGCAGGCGGCAGAACCACTGAGCTAAATCCCCCGGCCCCTTTATTTACTTTTTTGAGACAGGATCTTACTATGTAGCCCAGGCTGGCCTCAAACTCACGCTGATCCCCCTGCCTCAGCCTCTCAAGTGCTGGGATAACAGACGTGTACCACCATGCCTGGCATGTAATTATTTTAAAGCATTTTAATAATCGCTCTTAAATGTTTTCTGTTTATACCTTTAAAAATAGATTAATCTGTTATGTTATTCTGAATAAATTAAATAGCTTGCCATTTGTAATTGGTCTTCCCTATGCCCATCTCCCCCGACACCTGATCTTTCAGGTGTTAAATGACTCCCAATAAAAGAAAAGATTTCCTACCACGATACTATAATAAGCTGTGATAATAATTGGTATATTTGAATTTCCTTTCTCTAACTGAAACAATACTAGGAAATCTTCCTAGTTTACAGCTCTGTCCATATCTAAGACCCTGACCATAATATTTAATTTCAGTAAAACCTAGTATATAATATATTATATTATAATACATAGGAAGTGCAGTGGTGGTCCTAACAATGGCACGGGAGGGATTTTTCTGTTTGAACAATTTATCCCTTCCTTTCCCTTAACTACAAAACTATGTAAATTCATTTATCCTGTTCCATGAGATCCTTGTCCCCGAGGCCTTCTTATTGTCAGATTTTATAGCTGCCACAGTGCAGTTCTACAACAAAATACATAAAAGAATGATCTTATGAAATTGATATATTGGGGGAATGGTTATAGGTGAACTCTTGTTTACAAAGGGTTTATCTTGCAATGTTTTAGAAGGGCATGTTTTCTTTAGTATATTCCAAATAATTTGAACTTTGCAGAAAGGCATCTTCTGGGTAAATAAAATTTTCTTTTTCCTCCTTGTCCAGCAGATGCCAATATCCTAATGCTGCATCTCACAGCTGGTCATTTGTTTACCTCACTTTTGAGAGCAGCACTTCAGACTGAGCTTGGTGTGAAAGAAGAGAGTCTGGTCAGAAGAGCACAGCTAGCCTTACTACAACCATATCGCGCCGCTGCAGGTATTTCCACCTCTAAGCGGGGAAGCAAATATGCCTCTTGTTCTGAGGAAAAGAGGAAAGGATCAAGAAGACAAATTAAATATGTCACTTACTCAAAGTGAAAGAGAAGCTGACAAGGAGGTCAAGTTAAGAAGATCACTTCCTAAAAGAGAAAGTGTTCAGGATGACAAGTTTGAAGATGCCCATGAAATTATCCCTGTGACAACAACAATGAATCTAGTGTCTTCCCTGGAAGAATGTACAACCGGATTGTACTTATTTCTAAATAACAGATTCTCAACTGCAATAAATCTCATTCACCCGTGGTCTAAAAACAGTATATACCATGCCCTAATATACAGTATGCTTATGGTGGTCAAGGCCATCCTGACTTTTGATCCACAAGATATACAGATTGGAATGACTGCTGCAAAGGAAGCTTTGAAAACCTGTAATGGGTTCCGAAAAAAAACAAGGATAATGTCTTTATCTCACCTACTGAGCAGACAGGGAATAAATGCTGTCACAGGAGAGAAATTGCATGCCGAAGTCTGCTACGCTGAGCGTTTGGTCTTGAAAGCTGCCATAACATTTATACAGGGTGACAGCTTGCTTGGTTTTGTTAAAAGCGGGATAAACATTGAGACAAGTTACCAAATATACAAAGATTGTCAACAGATAGTAACGTTTATGTCCAACTACCAAAGCAAAGCCCACAGACACCTGGTGGGAGGAATCAAATTTGGATTTGGAGCATGCAATTTGATGTTATCACTTGTTCCACCAAGGACACTTAAACTTCTCAATGTCATTGGATATTCTGGTGACAGAGAGGTAGGCTTGGCTTTGCTTCATGAGAGTGCATCTGAACCCCATATAAATAATATTTTAAGCGTTTTGACGCTACTCTTTTATTACAATTACATTTATGTAGCTTTTGGTGTTGAAAATGTTTCCAGTTCTGCTACACAGAATCTCCTCCTAACCTGCCTGCAGAAGTTTCTAAACTCTGTTATACTTAAATTTTTTCATGCACATGTTAGTATGTTGAGAGGAAATTTTGAAAAGGCACAGCTAAAATTACAGGACTGCATTTCTATTCAGAGTGAATGGAAGCAGGTTCACCACCTCTGCTACTGGGAACTCATGTGGTGCCATGTTTTTCTGCAGAACTGGAGGCAGGCTTACCACTGTGCCCACCTGCTGTACCTACATAGCAGGTGGTCCAAGGCCACCTACGTGTATGGGAAAGCTGTGATACTGGCTTTGCTTCCTTCTGATTTTGTGAGATCAGTAAAAGAGGACACTAACTCTCTCTTCTTAAATGTGGATAGCCTAAGAATCAAAATTTTAGGCACTTCTGTGCCAATAGAACAGTTTGTTGCTGAGAAAAGGCAGTGCTATGGTACGACTTTGGGCTGGTTTACAGCACAGCCCCTTCTGGAATTCATTTATGCCTGGAGTGGATTCCGAATCATGTGCAAAAGGCTAGAGCTTATTTCAAGCTGGCTGTCCATAATTGACAGAGGAAAAGACCTTTTGCAAGAAAATCCAAAGGATGAGTACGGCACAGATGATGTAAGTTTGTTAAATTTGTTGAAAGGTCTGTGCCTGAAGCACTTAGGCAAATATCTGAAGGCTGAACACTACTTTAACTGTGTTATTCAGAAGGAGAGATCGTTAAAATATGACCACGACTTGGTGCCATACACACACTATGAACTGGGAATGCTACACTAAGAGGAGATTATGTTAGTGCAACGAAAAGCCTAGACAACATAAAGAACTACAAAGACTACCCCATGGAAGCACGCTTACAGTTCCAGGCTCATATAGCCCTGGAGCAAATAGCCAAAGAAAGGTGATTTAAACACAAAGGTGCTAAAAAAACCCAAAAAACAAAAAAACCACAAAGGTGCTTTCAGTTTAATATGAGTGAAATATCCACAGTCAGCAAGATAATGAGCAGGTAGAAAAATCTTTTCTTTGTGGGAAAAAAATCCATGGGGCGGCTGCTAAGCATCTGATCAGTAGCAAGTAAGGAAGGAACTGGCTATTTCTTTTCCCTCTTTCCTTTTCCTTGCCTGTAAAATACATGGCTTACACTGGTAAATGGAGTGATGTGTGTGTGTGTGTGTGTGTGTGTGTGTGTGTGTGTTTTAAAGGTAAATCATGTACATTACAAAACATTCTCTCTTACAAGCTGTGAATTTATTATGTTAATGTTTTCAAAACCTCAGAAGGACCCATGCATGGTGGCACAAGCCTGTAATCCCAGCACTTAGGAGGCTGAGGCAGGGAGATCACTGTGAGTTCAAGGCCAGCCTGGGTTGCATAGTGAGTTCAAGGCCAGCCTGAACTACAAAGCTAGACCCTGTCTTAAAAACAAGCAAACAAACAAAAAACAAAACCAAACCTCAAAAGGTAACTTTTTTTTTTTTTTTTTGGTACTGGGGATCGAACTCGGGTCCCTGTGCTTTCAAAGCAGGCAGTGGAACCACTGAGCTAAATCCCTGGCCCTATCAAAATGTAATTTTTAACATCTCACTAGATAGTATATACAACTCACAAATAAAATAGGAAAAATAGCTACACTAAGGATCACACTGCCCTATAAATATTTTTTTATTTTAGGAAAATGACTTCAGGGTCTTAGTTATTTCAAAACTATGGTATACTGGGCTGGAGATTTTAGCTCAGTGGCACAGTACCTGCCTTGAAAGCATAAGGTCCTGAATTTCATCCCTGGTACAAAAAAACCAAAAACCAAAAACCATGGTATACTGAATAGCTTAGATTCTGAATTATTTTTCCCAAAATCAACCGCCCCCCTTTTTTTCTGAGTCAGGATCTCACTATGCAATTCAGGATGGCCTTGAATTCACTATGTAGCCTAGGTTGCCCTCAAACTTGAGGCAATCCTCCTGCCTCAGCCTCGCAAGTGCTGGGATTATAGATGTGCATAATCATGCCCAGCCACATACATTTTTACTGGCTTCTTACATCAGAGATGATTTTTCTGTTGTGTATTAGGAGTACTTTTTCAAACTTTTTTCAATAGGCAACTCAAATATGGGTTTATAATCTGTCCCAAGATAGACAAGAAAGACCCCCCCTTCTATACACACACACACCCACATGCACATACATCCTTTGAAAGTTGGGCATAGTGGAATACACCTGTAATCCCAGCACTCTGGGAGGCTGAAGCAGGAGGCCTAGTGATTGAGTGACTCAGCAAGACCATGTCTCAAAATAAAATCAATAAATTAAATAAAAAGGGCTGAGGATGTAGTTCAGTGCAGAGGCCCTGGGTTCCATTCCCACAACAATAATAACAAAGAATCCTTTGAAGATTACCGTAGGAGGCCAAGAGAGGATAGATCACTGGGTAGGGCAAGGGAAGAACAGGCTGTTGGAGGAAGTGTTTAATTACCAAATAACTCCCTTTCATTGTCCTCCCTGAGGGGTAATAAGTATAGTGCTTGTTATTGTTTTACCTGCCTGCTGGATCAAAGTCAGTTCCCCGTACCTGGGCCAGTAAGTCTAGCTGAATATATCCCTCCTCCTTTTTCCTTGTGTTTTTTGTTTGTTTGTTTGTTTGTTTGAAATAGGGATGTTGCTATGTAGTCCAGGCTGGTTTTTAACTCTCTGTGTAACCCAAGCTGGCCTTGGACTCCTAATCCTTCTGCCTTAGCCTTTTCTTGCACAAATCTTTTTTTCTTTTCTTTTTTTTGGTACCGGGGATCGAACTCCGGATCTCGCACTTGCAAGGCAGGCACAGGAACCACTGAGCTAAATCCCTACCCCCTGCTTTAGCCTTTTCTGAGTGCTGGTATTCGAGTATGTTTAGCATCCTTCCTTCTTTTAGTCACCCTTTGAAACAGAAATTCCTGAGAAAGTTTGGCTTGCTAAAATATATTAGCAAACACATTATCTAAATGCTTTTGGTGCTGGAAGTGGGGGGAACGCCTGTAAGCCCAGCACTTGGGAGGCTGAGGCAGGAGGATCAACGGGAGTTCGAGGCCAGGTGAGGCTGCTTAGTGAGTTCAAGATCAGTTTGGACTAGAGAGTGAGACCCTGTATCAAAATCCACTCCCCCCAAACAAAAGATCTGATAAATCATTCATCCTCCCATAATATGCATACATTGCTGGAAAGTCTTTCCCTCAAATTTTTGGTATCTGAGAAGTATCTCTCTAAACTTGTAGCTTATTTTCTACTATTTTTATTTTTTGTAGTACTAGGGATCAAACCTAGGGTCTTGTACATGAGAGGTAAGTGCTCTATTACTAAGCTACTTATTTTATCTTTTTATTTTTATTTTTTTTCAAACATGTGTGTCCGATTTATTTCACTTAAGAGTATGATCTCAAGGTCCATCCATTTAGCTATAAATGTTTGAAGCTCACCCTTCATGGCAGAGTAGTATTCCATTACGTAAAAAAATCACATCTTCTTTATCCACTCATCAGTTGATGGGCATTTGGGCTGTTTCCAAAATTTAGCTATTACAAACTGTGCTGCTATAAACATGGGTGTGCATATATCGCTGTGGTATGATGCTTTTAATTCTTTCAGGAAGATACCAAGAAGAGTACAGCTGGATCAAATGGAACCTCTAGTTTTACTTTTGTTTGGTTTTTTTTTTTGGTACCGGGGATCAATCTTGGGTCCTTGTGCTTGCCCAACAGGCGGCGAAACCACTGAGCTAAATCCCTGGCCCCTAGTTTTACTTTTTTGAGAAATCACACTGATTTCCACAGTGGTTGCACCAGTCTACACTCCCACGAACAGTGGAGAAGAGTTCCTTTTCCCCCGCAGCCCCACCAGCATTTGTTATTGATTTCTTTCTTTCTTTTTTTTTTTTTAAGGGGAAGGGGTTTATTTGGTTTACAGTTCATAGAGGTTTCAGTCCATAGTTGGCTGGCTCCAAGACAGGGATGGTAAGCAGGCCTCATAGAGGAGAAACAACTTGGCGCACACAAAGTAACAAAGGCAACAAGGGTGACTGATTTCTTGATAGCAGCCATTCTTTCTGGAGTGAGATGGAATCTCAGCATTGTTTTAAATTGCATCTCATGAATGACCAGTGATGTTGAACATTTTTTATATATTTATTTGCCATTTCTAATTCATCTAAAATGAAGACGCCCATTTTCGCATTGAGTCTTTAAATTTGGGGGGTCTGATTTTTTGAGTTCTTTATTCTTTCTAATAATAATCCTTTACCTGAATAGCTGGTGAAAATTTTTTACCATGCTGTAGGTTGCCTCTTCACTGTGTTGGCAGTTTCTCTTGCTGTGCAAAAGCGTTTTAATAAGATGAGGTCCCGGGCCAGCGATTTAGCTTAGTGGTTCTGGCGCCTGCCTCACAAGCACAAGGTCCCAAGTTTGATCCCTGGTACCAAAAAATAAAAAATAAAAAAATAAGATGAGGTCTCAGTTGTTGATTCTTTGTGATATTTCCTGTGTGGTCTGGGTTTTGTTCATGAAGTCTTTACCTACTCCTGTGTTCTCAAGCATTCTATCTATTCTGTGTTTCAGCAGACTTAGTGTTTGTTTTAATATTTAGATCTTTGATCCATTTCGATTTTATGTCAGTGCATGGTGAAAGATATGGGTGTAGTCTCAATCCTCAACATGTGGAAAGCCAGTTTTTCCAGCACTATTTATTAAAGAGGCTATCTTTCTTCCAGTGAAGGTGTTTGGCTCCTTTGTCGAAGGTAAAGTAGTTGAGTGTGTCTGGAGTTGTTTCTGCATCCTCTAGTCTGTTCCACTGATCCTCAGGTCTGTTCTTTTGCCAATTAATTATTTTGAGATAGGGTGTTGCTAAATTGCTCAGGCTGGCCTGGAACTTGAGATCCTCCTGCTTCAGCCTCCCAAGTAAGAGATTACAAGTGTATGGCAACTGTGCCTGGCTTCAATCCCTAGCTCTTTTTCTTTCTTTCTTTTTAAAAATGTTTTTTTGACACAGTCTTGTTATGCAGTTCAGCCTGGCCTTGAACTCACTATGTAGACCAGGTTGCCCTCGAACTTGTGGCAATCTTCCTGCCTCAGTCTCCCAAATGCTGGGATTACAAGCATGTGCCTAGCTTTCTCATCTTTTTCTCTACTTTCAACTTCCGACCATGGGTTGCTGAATGTCTTAAAGGCTACCATATACTTGTTTCCATTTACTAAAATACAATCCCACTCCAGTCCTGCTTCCTTAGAATTCCAGTTGTTCCCATGTATTTTGGTCATCCAGATTATACATGGCCTCTTTGTGCAAATGAATCACAGATCTAATCCATCCAGTTAGTTTAACTTTTTACTGGAGCTTGGAGGAGGTATCTCACTATTGCTTTCCTGTACAGTACTGTCCACACAGATAAAATGCTTTTTTTTTTTTTTACAGATAAGGTGCTTTTGAAGAAGGCTTTATTCCATAATGAAGTTTTCCTAATTTTTTGTTTTGCTTTTTGTGACAGGATTTCACTATGTGGCCCAGGCTGGCCTTGAATTTGTGGTCTTCCTGTCTCATCCTCCTGAGTGCTGGGATTACAGGAGTGCACCATCACACCCAGGGCTTTTCCTATTTAATTTAATGAATATAACTATTTGAAAAGATGTAAGAGCCTGAAAAAAAATGAAGAGAAGAGGACTTTATGCACGAAGAAAAGAACAAACAGAATTTCTGTTAAAGCCCTGGAGTCTTCAAATTCAAGTTCTTAACATGCCCTTGCCCTAATGCAACCAACCCATAAAACCTGTTGATTCCTCCTCTGACATGTCTTTTCCCGCGGCTGTCAGCCTAGACTAGCACTTTACTTCCTACCCGGACCAGCTGTCTTTAGAAACAATAACTCACTGGAGAAAAAAATGGATCTGTGGCAAAACATGCATATTTTTACTGTTTCAATTGCTCTATAAAGATTTTTTACAGCGTTGAGGATCCAACCCAGGACCTTGGACACGCTAGGCATGTACTCTACCACTAAGCTACTTTCCCCAGCCATAAAGATGTTATTGTCTGGGCATCTTTGAGAAGCAACAGCACAGTTTTTATCTTTTTTTTTTTTTTTGGTTCTTTTATGTTTTTGTTTTTGTTTGTTTTTTGAGACAGGGTCTCACTATGTAGCCCAGGCTGTCCTTGAACTCGAAGTAATCCTGCTGCTTCAACCTCCTGAGTGCTGAGATTATAGGCATGGGCCACCATACCTGGCTAAACAACACAGTTTTAAAAAACTTACCTGCTGTCATGTGTTTAGTACTTTGAGTTTTCAAAGTTTCACCCTAGGGAAACAAGTCTCTTTTCACTGTCTGCTCAGGAACCAACGCTCCCTCTCTGAGATGATAAAACCTCCACTTTGGGCAGGGCAGATAAAAGCAAGCAATTGGAGACATGCCTCTGTGAAGCCATTTTCCCTTAGAGGAGTGGTTGTTTTGGAATCTTTTTTTCCTGGGCCTGAGATTTAGCTCAGTGGTTCTGCCTCCTGCCTTGCAAGCACAAGGTCCCGAGTTTGATTCCTGGTATCAAAAAAAAAAAATTGGAATCTTTTTTCCTAATACCATTACTTTATTTGGGTAGAGTTATGTTACATAAGGTTGAACAGTGCATATGGTCTCTAATTCCCTACTTCCTCCAAATCCAATTTCTCTGAGTGGCCCCCCTTTTCCAGTGCTAAAGACGGAAACCAGGCCTCTTGAATGCTAAGCAGGCTCTTACCACTGAGCGCCCTCCAGCCCTTCTGCATTCTTTCTAATACACTGATCTAATCATGTCACTCCACAACTCAAATCTTCCTATTCCCTCCAGCCTATTTCCTCCTAAGATGAGTTCAGCTGGTTGCACTGTCATGTGCCTGTAGGGTCAGCTTCTCATGAGGCTGTTGGAGGAAGATTGCTTAAACCCAGGAGTTTATGACCAGCCTGAGCAACATACTAAGATCTGTCTCATAGCTGGGCATGTTGGCGCATGCCTGTAATCCTGGAAATTTTTTTAGAATTTGTGCTAGGTAGTATTGAAAGAACTTTTTTTTTTTTTTTGAGACAAGATCTAGCTATGTAATTTAGGCTGGTCTTGAACTCACTATGTATCCCAGGTTGGGGTTGAAATTGTAATGATTCTTCTACCTCAGCCTCCTGAATGCTGGGATTACAGGCATGCACCACTACACAAAGCTCATCCTAAATTATCGGTGTATGTCTAGTTATGAAATTTTAAGAGTTGACAAGATTTTGGGTCATCTAATCACACATTTTCATTTACAGATGAAACCGAAATCCAAGGTGAATAACTTCAGGAGCACAGGTAGTGGTGTGCTAGAACCAGCTTACACTGGCTCAAAAAACCTGCTGTTAAATATTCAAGGATTTTGTGATCCAATTGTTAAATCACTGGTACCTTGAAATCAGCCACAGTGGAAATATTTACACCACAGAAAGAGCAAACAGTACAAATCAAGGCTCTCCCTACTCCCCAAGAGAAGCAGTTTTCTAGTATACAACAAATTTAACCAAACTGAAACCAAAATTACTAAACTTCTTGTCCACTTTTTTTTTTCAGGGCTAGGGACTGAACCCAGAACCCTGTGTGCATGCTAGGCCAAGCCTCTCCAGGAGGCACCTGGAGAGGAGTCCGTTTAGTCTTATCTAGAGACTCATGAGTGAGTTAATCAGTTCCTCAACAAGAACAATACCTGCAGAGAGTCAATCATCAGCATCAGGACAGCACCAGAGCATGACAGTTGGAGCTGCATCTCCAGAGCTCAAGAGCTGTGTGTCTCTTTATTCCTTCAGCAAAACAGCTACATAACAAACACAGCAAGCACAGCTACTAAAATGTTACAGCTGGAGGTATTGTGTTCAGATGCAAATTCCCTATGATGAGTGTTGTCATTATGTACATCTAAAATGGAGTAATACATGTTTTGCTATTTAAAAAAATGTAAGTATGTGTCACTAAAAAAAAAAGTTATGGTATTTATAGTGTATTTTCTGCTTATGAGACTTGGTGAGACTAAACACCTGCTGCATGACGTCGGCCATGCTGCACATGCGTGGTTGCGTATGTTGTCATTCTTAATAACTGTGGGTTGTTATGTGCATGTCTCTGAGAACAGAGTTGTAACCTTAAGTGTCCTCAGATGCCCTCAGACGCCTGGGCTTTGAGTATAGGCAGAAGTGGTACCCCTCAGCAAGTGGCTATCACTGAGCTACATCCCCAGCTAGTTTTACTAGTTTTTAAAGCCTAGTTCTTAACAGAAAGTATAGCATACAAAACTAAATCAATATATGGGCCAGGGATTTAGCTCAGTGGTGCTGCCACCTGCCTCACAAGTGCAAGGTCCTGAGTTTGATCCCTGGTACAAAACAAAAATAAAAACAAAAAAACATTAAATCAATATATACTTGATGAATAAATCTAAAAATTAAGAATAAACACTTTTAGTTGGTTCTACTGGTTGAATAAATAGAAATGCTAGAATATTTTAAAAGTGTTGGGCCAAAATGACCAGGGTTATTTTTTTGTGATCATGCCTTGCTTGAAGTATGTTTAGTAAATTATCAACTACTTCCACACCCTTTTCTACCTACTTTCAACACTCAGTACTCTGAACTGAATTTTGTCCTACTTTGGCCAGGGCAGGGCAGCTTTTTCTTTGAACTACAATAAAGAACAGCAAATAGTTTAAGAAGACTGGGTTTCTAACCTCTAATTTTGTTTAGGGTTTTTTTGTTTTGTTTTTGAGACAGGGTCTTGCTATGCAGTTCAGGCCAACCTTGAATTCATTATGTAGCCCAGGCTGGCCTAGAACTCCTGGAAATCCTTCTGCCTCAGCCTTTCAAGTGCTGGGGTCACAGGTATGCGCCACCATGCCTGGCTTGCTTTAGGGCTTTTAAGAAGAGAAATTTCTTTGAAAATAAATATTTCTTGCACAAATGAAACTGAATGTACCTAAAATCTAAAATGAGCAATTTTTAACCGGGCAAAGGAAAGGTTAAAGGTGCTTAGGCAAGTTTGAGTGGAGTTATATTCCTGGAAGAAAATGGACAGAGAGAGGAGGGCAGCAGAGAATCTGAGAGGAGGGACACCAGCTGAAGTAAAGGGAGGCACAGGGCAACAAAGAGTAGGAACCAGGGCTGGGGATTTAGCTCAGTGGTGCCACTGCCTGCCTCGAAAGCGCAAGGTTCTGAGTTTGATCCCCAGTACCCCCCCAAAAAAACAAAAAAACCCCCCAAAAAACCCCAAAGAGTAGGAACCAACCAGGAGAGGAGAGAGCACCATTTGAGGCTAGCTTCTACTTGTAGAATTACATGCACAGAAAAGAAAGGCTGATTTTTGCAGTATAGAATGACGCTTAAGGCTGGTGTAGTGACACACCCCTGTAATCTTACCACTCAGCAGGCTGGGCTACATAGTGAGTTCAAGGCCAGCCTGGACTACAAAGCAAGACCCTGTCTCAAAAAAAAAAAAAAAAAAAAAAAGCTTAAAATGCAAATGAATACTTGTCACAAATTGTAGTTCTTTTGGATTGAATTTTTGAGGTCAAACATTTTCTTCCACAATATAATAACAGTTGGAATTTTCAATAGCTCTTTGTAGATTTACAGAAGGCTTTAACTGGCAAAATCTAATTTAATCCCCTAAACCCACATTAATATAATCAGGCAACTCATTCAAAATGAAGAAAGGTTTTGGGAGGGATTATTGATGTCAATAAGAAACAGTATCAGGGCTGGGGATTTAGCTCAGTGGTTCCGCCACCTGCCTTGCAAGTGCAAGGACCGAGTTCCATCCCCAGTACCAAGCACAAGGACCCGAGTTTGATCCCCAGTACCAAAAAAACAAAAACAAACTAAAAAACAGTATCCTTCGGTTCCAAGTAGTAATAGAAAAGCAGATTGATTTTTGATGTTTTTTACACCTTGATTCCATAGTCTTCTAATTCTGTTCTTATAAACTTCCCTTTGGGCTGGGGATTTAGCTCAGTGGTTTCGCTGCCTGCTGCGTAAGGACCCGAGTTCGATCCCTGGAACCAAAAAAAAAAAAAAAAAATTTCACATATGTAGGAGGAACTCAAGGTTTACTACTTCTCAGGATTACTGCCAGGGATTTAGCTCAGTGGTTCTGCCGCCTGCCTCAAAAACATAAGGGCCCGAGTTCGATCCCCAATACCAAAGAGAAATTTTTTTTCAGGATTTTAGTCTTGATAAACATGATTCTAGAGTAAACCAGAAGCCAACTAAACACATGACCAGAAGTCTGTAGCAGAAGCAAGTGTTTTGTACTCTTGGACTGGAGGAGTTTCTAGTGAGTGATCTGTGAGGTGGAATCCAACACAACCCAGTGTGTTTCTTCCCAGCTTCTGCACTTCCAGCAAGACGTACGAGGCCCACCCAGAGAAGCAGGCATGTTAACTGCCTACATAGGTCAAACAAGAAATACCTTAGCTCCGTTACTCTTCCCCACAGCACGTTCACTTCACACTTGTAGAGATTTAGGATTGACCTAGGGGGTTAAGTACTTTGATTCCATAGCTGTAGTGCGTCTGCAACTGGCATGAACCTCTTCCTTAAAAAACAAGCAAACAAACCAAACTATTTGAGATGTCCATCGTGGCAATGGAGTAGGGAGGCCCTATCAAATTTACAGGGCTATTATACAAACATCCGGGCCGGGGATTTAGCTCAGTGGTTCCGGCGCCTGCCGCGCAAGCGCAAAGTCCCGAGTTCGATCCCCAGTACCAAAACAAAAAAAAAAAAACAACAAAAAAAAACTTAGTGAGGGCCAGGTATTTAGCACAGTGGTTCCGCCGCCTGCCTCCCAAACATCCCAGGGACAGCGACTCTGAGACACGAAGGGAGTGATCAAGATGAGGACTACAAAACAGAGGATTGTGGGGGACGGAAGTGACGCAAGCAGCGAAGCATGCTGGTCCCGGCAGCTGCGCATAATATTCCTTCGGCGCAGCGTGGTTGCAGAGTCCTAAGTCTTGCGCGGAGTTTCATTCGACCGGTTCTTTCTTTGTCAGGATTAAACGTTAAGTACCACTTGGTTTGAGTATAGTTGTAAGTATTGTGAGGCCATAGATTGTTTGGGCAACCTCTAGATTTTACGAGCAAATTGTCACAAATCGGAGCCCTGTCCCGCGGAGACCCCCAGCTATAGCCAATGGGTGGATATCACAGTTCTCTGCTTCAGCTTGGTTACAGAGCCGTGGGGGTGAACTCCCCTGATCGCAGGAAAGTTAAACGGAAGGGTTTGAACGTCCTGTGCGGACCAGGATTAGGCGGAGCGAAAGCGTCCTGGAGTGGGATGGGATGGTGGGATAGAAACATCCAGTTTCCTCACGCTGCTCCTTGCAGCCACTCTGTCGCCGTAGCTTTCAGACTGAATTATAAATACAGGAGTTATCCTTGTCCTGATACAGTTAAACATTCTCAAGCAATTACAGTATCAATTCCTTGTACAGTCCATATATCAATACTCATTTTTGTCGTCCCCCCACCCCCCACTGCCCTTGAACTCCCTATGTAGCCCGGACTGGCCTTGAATTCGTAGTGATCCTCTTAGATCCTCTTGCCGCGGCCACCCGAGTGTTGGGATTACAGGCATGCACCACCACACCCGGGGCTTGTTTTGTTTTATTTTTGAGACAGAATCCTCACTTATTCTACCCTGCTTTTCGAACTGGTGCCCTCAAGTGGTTTTCTCACATTCTCCTGAGTAGTTGGGACTACTGGTGTACACAGCTGAGCTACAGGCCTAGCTCAATATATTAATATTTAATTGTATTAAGTAACATTAAGAATTTGAGGCAAATCAAGTGTTCTCGTCTTCTAGTATGGAGATTAGAGGTAACACATTTATTCGCTTGTGTGGAACGTATATATTAACCCAAACTGGTGGTGGTTTTAGATTTAGCCACCTGGCGACCATGAGTGAATGGACTAAGAAAAGCCCCTTAGAATGGGAAGATTATGTTTATAAAGAAGTCAGAGTAATAGCCTCTGAGAAGAAGGAGTATAAAGGATGGCTTTTAACTACAGACCCAGTCTCTGCCAAGTGAGTATGCCTTCTGCTTCCCTGAAATCATAACATCCTTTTGTGCTGCCTGTATGAATAATCAAATTAAGAAAGCAGATCAATGAAAGCCTAGTGATTCTCACATAAGAATTTAATTGCTTTTGAAGCTACATGCCTTTCTGACTATGGATTACCCTATCAGACCAGTGAAATTCATAGGATTGGGACTTAGAAATTCTTTCTCTGTCTTTTTTTTGAGACAAGGTATTACTATATAGCCAGGCTGGCCCTAAAATCACTGTGTAACCCAGGTTTGCCTTGAACTCACCATTCCAAGTAGTGGGATTACAGGCGTGTGCCATCATGCCCAGCTTGTCTTGTATTTTTAATAGAAAAATTCAAACACAAAGGTAAAGAGAGCCCTGTAACAGTCAGTAACTACCCCCACCCCCAAACCCAAGTATTTTAAACCCAGTTCCAGACATTTTACAGTTGTGTCCACAAATACAACAACATGCCTCTTGAAAGATAAGGATTTTTGACATGTGTAACCATGATTTATAACACCTGACAAAAGTAATAATAGTAAACAATATTAGCTAATTTCTAGTCTGTTTAGATTCTGTTGCCTCAAAAGTTCCCTTTTAGGCCAAGTATGGTGGCACACCTCTGTAGTCCCAACACTTAGGAGGCAGGAGGATCGCTGTAAGGTTGAGGCCAGCCTGGGTTACATAGTGAGTTCAAGGTCAGCCTCTACTACATAGCAAGACCCTGTCTCAAACCCCTCTCCTGAAAAAGTACCCTTTTACATTAATTCAGGTTGGTTGATTTGTCTCTTAAGTAGAGGTATGACTCTGCACTCTCCTCTTTTTGTTTTCCATGTCATTTTGTTTTAAGAATCTAGGTCAGGACCAGGGATGTAGCTCAGTGGCACCATGGCAAGTGCAAGGTCCTGAGTTTGATTGCCAGTACCAGAAAAGAAAAAAAAAGAATCTAGGTCATTTGTCTTATAGCATCAAACATTCTTGTTGCATTAGCATGGTGCAGTTTAACATGTTCTTTTATCCCCCATGTTTCCTATAAATTTGTATTCAGATCTAGAGGTTTGATAGAGATCAGATTTATTTTTTGCAAGACTGCTTGTTTGCTTCCTTCCTTTATTTACTTATTTTTTTTGTTTTGTTTTGGGTTTTTTTTGGTACTGGGAATCAAACTCAGGACCTTGCGTTTTCGAGGCAGGCGCCAGAACCACTGAGCTAAATCCCCAGCCCCCTTTATTTACTTACTGATGGTGCTGAGGATTGAGCCCAGGGCCTTTGTACTGAGCTACATACCCAGCCCCTTTAAGAAATTTTTTTATTTTGAGGCAGGATCACAAGTCACCAAATTGCCCAGGCTGGGCTCAAATTTGCAATCTTCCTGCTTCAGCCTCCCAGACTGCTGGGATTATAGGCATGTGCCACCACTCCTGGCAAGACTGCCTTAAAAGTAGAGGCATGCATATGCACACACTTTATTTTGTAGTAATTTTAGACTTACAGAAAAGTTACAGCTGAGGATTTAGCTCAGTGGTTCCGCTGCCTGCCTCGAAAGTGCAAGGTCCAGAGTTTGATCCTCAGTACCAAAAAAAGAAAGAAAGAAAGAAAAGTTACAAAGAGATTACAGGAATTTCATATATTCTTTACTCATCTTCCCCTAATGTTAATATCTTACATATTTGAGATATCAAAACTAAGAATTTACATTAAATAAACTACAGAGGTTATCTAGATTTTACCACTGTTTCTGCTAATGGCATTTTTCTGTTCAGGATCCAATCCAGGATTTCAGGTTACATTTAGCTGCCATGTTTCCTTAGTCTCCTCTGATCTGTGATATTTTTCAGCCTTGTTATCACGACCTTGACAGTTTTGAAAAGTACTGGTGAGGTATTTTGTAGATTGTCTCTCAATTTGGGTTTGTACGATTTTTCTCATAGTTTTCTTTTGCAAATCTATTCCAAATTTATTTTTCCTTTTTGGCATCAAGGTCACATTAACCACATTAAATGAGATATAGATCCCCTTTTATAGCTTCTAGAAGAATTTGATTAGGTGAGAAATGTCTGATCCTTGAAAATTTTATAGACCTTATCAATAAAGTAGTATATTTTTTTCACCCTGCACAGATTTTAAATTATTTGTTTTTTTAAAAAAGATTATAGACCTAGTCACATTTTTTCATTTTTGCACCAGTAGTTTATTTTCTAGAAAGTTTTTTAAGTTTCAAAATTATTGGCATAGATTTATTCTTACTATTTTCTGCTAGACTTTGCTACCTGTTTCTTTTCTTTGGAGACAGGGTCTCGCTATGTAGTTCAGGCTGGCTTCAAACTCTTGATCCTCTTGCCTCAGCCTCTCGAGTCTGGGATCACAGGTGTGCGCTGCCACAGCTGGTTTGTTCGTTTATTTATTTGTTTTTTAGACAAGGTCTTGCTATGTAATCCATGCTGGCCTTGAACTCACTATGGAGCCCAGGCTGACCTCGAACTCATGGCAGTCCTTCTGCCTCAGCCTCCCACATGCTGATTACAGGTGTGTGCCACCATGCTTGGCTTTTTTGGCCTACTTTAGTGTATTCAGTTACTTTTTTTTAAATTCAGAAGTTAAATATACACCCTCTTGTACATGTTTAAGGGATTCATAACTTTTTTCCCCACATACTGAGGCTCAAACCCAGGGCCTTATGCGTACTAAGCATAAGCTGTGCTACTGAACAACCCCCCAACCCCATTAACTCTTCAGGTAATATATTACCTGTGTCCCATGATGATTTAACTTTAAAATAGGCAAAATGTTTAGATGTTGAGGCTTTTCAGTGAATACTGTATAAGCATTTGGTGGTGAGAGGATTAATTTCAGACAGGTAAAATTGTTCCCTCTTATTCTTATGACTTGTTTGGGTTTACGATGCCTCTCATTAGGTTACTTCTTCCATAGTTTTGTGGGCCTTCAGCCTTTTCTTTTGCAGATCTGCTCTGAACTTATATTTCTTTCAAAGTATTGTCCTTGTGAACTTCCTGGAAGATGGCAGCTTGTCTGTGACTGGAATTATGGGACATGCTGTGCACACTGTCGAAGTTGTGGATGAAGGGGACCGCAGAGTGAGAGAGAAGCTGATGCACTTGTTCCTGTCTGGAGACTGTGCAGCATACAGCCCTGAGGACCTGGAAAGGAGAAAGGACAGCCTAAAGAAATGGCTTGAGAAGAACCACATCCCCATCACTGAACAAGGAGAGTCCCGGAGGACACTCTGTGTGGCTGGGGTCTTGACTATAGACCCACCATACTGTCCAGAAAATTGCAGCAGCTCTAATGAGATTATTCTGTCCCGTGTTCAGGATCTTATTCAAGGTCATCTTGCAGCTTCCCAGGGAGAAGCCAAGAACTGTAGGCATACTGATTAACATCGACTTTATGCCTTTATTTCTTCTTAAAATGTTATGAGTGTAAGCCATTATATTATAGGACTGTGTATATTTAAATTTTTTGTTTTGGTAAAATCAAAGGAGGAGCGCTGGGGATTTAGCTCAGTGGTTCTGCTGCCTGCCTTGCAAGTGCAAGGTCCTGAGTTCGATCCCTGGTACCAAAAAAAAAAAAAATCAAAGGAGATTATAAGTGTAATTTCCTTGGGAAATAAATGAGCTAATACAAAGCATCATGTGCAATGCAATTAGCTCAGGGAAGTCAAATATTAAAGTTTTGTTTTTTATTTATTTATTTTTTTAGTCTGGGTCTTACTTTGTAGCTTGGGCTGGCCATAAACAAAGGATCCTCTTGTCTCAGCCTCCCCAAAGGGGTCTTTTTCTCTGTGATGAGGCTATACTGTTCCCATCTTTTTTTTTTTGTAATGGTGCTATGGACTGAACCCAGAGTCCTGCACATGCCAGGCAACCACTCTACCACTAAGCTATATCCCTAGCTCAGTTTACTCCATTTTTATTAGGCAAGAAATGTATTTAGAGCTGGGCTCAGTGATACACCTTATAATCCCAGGTGCTCAGAAGCTGAGCCAGGAGGATTGCCAAGTTCCAGGCCAGCTAGGTAGCTTAGTGAGACTGTCTCGGAATAAGAAGGGCTGAGGATATAGCTAGTGATAGGGCACTTTATCATGGGTAAGGCCCTGGGTTCAATCCCTAGTATGGCGGGAGATACGTGTGTGTGTGTGTGTACATGCATATATATATATATGGAAAAAGTAAATCTGTATCTTTACAATGTCTTTTATTCTGAAGTAATGATAAAGCAGTTTCAAATCAGACTGTGCTATGGCGTAATTATGGTTTCTGTCTTCTTAAAGGCTCATGTGTTACACACTTGCCTCCCAGAGTGGAGGTATTCAGAGGTGATGGGGTCTAGTGGGAGGTCCTTAGGTCACTGAGGGACTGCCCTCAGAAGGGATCGTGGGACCCTAGTCTCTCTGACTTCCTGTTTGGCTTTGTAAATCTGTGCTATGCTGTGAGGCAACCAAGAAGGAGTACTCAGGCAAGAGTGTACCAGCCCTTGCCAAAACTGAGCTCATGACACTGCCATGCCCTAAACCTTCAAAACTGAGCTGAAAAACCTTTCTTCATAAGTAGCCTTTTTGTTTTGTTTTGTTTTGTTTCCCCCATTAACTTTATTGGTACATTTTAGGTATACAATACAGTTACATTCATCATTGGGATCTTGTACCATTACATGAGTCTCTTGGTTCTTA